GCTCGAACCACATGACTGGTTGAAAGGAGTGGATGGCAGATTTTGACGAGTCGAAGAAGAGCAAGGTAAAAATTGCTGAGAATAGTTCATTGCAAGCAGAAGGTACTGGCAACATAGTCTTTCAAATGAGTAATGGAGGGAAAGCTATGATCAAAATATGCTCTATGTACCTGGAATGAAATGAAACTTACTAAGTGTTGGACAACTAGTCGAAAAAGGTTTCTCAGTTGTCATGAAAGATGGAGTTTTGATATTGTTCGACACCAAGAATAATTTGGTCTTAAAATCTCCATTGTCGAAAAATAGGACATTTAAGACTATGATCAATTCGACAGAAGTTCAATGTTTGAAAACAGTTGTCGACCACAAGGATAGTTGGTTGTGGCATTTGAGGTTTGGACATTTGAATATTCTATCACTTAATCAACTGATTACTCAAGATATGGTTACTGGTATTCCAAGCCTTGAGATGCCTGAAAAACGTTGTGAAGGCTGCTTAGTGGGAAAACAATCCAGATATTCTTTCGTTTTGACTATGTCAATGAGATCATCCTGCATTCTCGAAGTGGTGCATTTAGATGTATGTGGTCCATTTGAAGAACATATAATTGGTGGAAACAAATATTTTGTTTCGTTTATTGATGAGTTTAGTCGAAAGCTGTGGATCTATATGATCAAACGAAAGGACAAAGTATTCGAAATCTTTAAGAGATTCAAGATACTTGTCGAAAACCAGAGTGAGAAGAAGATCAAAGTTCTGCGAAGAGATGGAGGTGGTGAATACACATCCAAGATGTTTTAAGATTTCTATATAGAACATGGTGTTGATCATGAGGTAACTGCTCCTTATACACCTTAACATAATGGGATTGTTGAAAGAAGAAACAGAACCATATTAGTTATGGCTAGATGCATGCTGAAGCAAAAGAATTTTCCAAAGTCTTTATGGGGAGAAGTTGTTTCTACTGCAATTTATATTTTGAATATGTGTCATACTAAGATATTGAAGAACAAGGTTCCTGAAGAAGTGTGGAGTGGCAAACGACCATCAATAAGTCATTTGAAGGTGTTTGGATCTATGTGTTACAAGCATGTTCCTGATGCAAAGAGAAGGAAGCTTGATGGCAAGAGTGAACCTATGATTCTGGTAGGATATCATAAAACTGGTGCATACAGACTATTCAATCCAATTAATGAGAAGATTGTGTTGAGTCAAGATATTGTGATTAATGAAAATTCTGTTTGGGATTGGAATTCTAGAAATTCAATTAACAAGCCATTAATGAACTTTGATTTCGACGAAGAAACTGATGAAGTAGAGGTCGAAGGAATTGTTGAAAATCCAGTCGAAGTCGAAGAAGAAGCAATTGCTGACACTCTCGACACAATCGAAGTCAAAGAGGTTGTGGCTGAAACAAGCCAAAGACCTCAAAGAAATAGAGTTCTTCCAACAAGACTTCGTGATTATGAAGTGGTGGGTGATGATGAAATCACACCAGATGGAGAATTAGTTTATTTTGTTTTACTTGTATGTGCTGAACCAATCAACTATAGCGAAGCTTTGAAGATTAACAAGTGGAAGTTAGCTATGGTCGAAGAGTTACAGGCAATCGAAAGAAACAACACATGGGAGTTAGTTGAATTGCCATCACATACAAAAGCTATCGAAGTAAAATGGGTGTTCAAGTTGAAACACAATGCAAGATGGGTCAATAGCAAGACATAAAGCAAGATTAGTAGCTCGAGGTTTTCTTCAAAGAGCAGGACTTGACTACTCTGAAGTATTTGCTCCAGTAGCAAGACTAAAGACTGTTCGACTAGTGGTAGCATTGGCATGCAACCAACGCTGGTCTGCATTCCATCTAGATGTGAAATCAGCATTTCTGAATGGTCCTTTAGACGAAGAAGTTTATGTCACATAACCTCCTGGATTTGTGATTCAGAAGGAAGCAAGTAAAGTATATAGATTGCACAAAGCACTCTATAGCCTCAAGCAGGCACCTAGGGCATGGAACAAGAATATTGACTCATACTTAGTCGAATTGGGATTTGTCAAATGCAAATTAGAGTACGGCGTCTATGTTTAGGTTGTAGCACGAGATATAACAATCATCTTCTTGTATGTTGATGACTTGCTAGTAACTGGAATTAGTTTGGAGAACTTGTCGAAGTTCAAAGCGCTGATGACGAAGGAATTTGAAATGTAGGATCTAGGAAAATTGTCTTATTTTCTAGGCATGGAATTTCAAATGTCGAAGCAAGGTATGGTGCTACATCAAAGAAAATATGTCAAAGAGATACTTAAGAGATTCAGAACGGATGATTTGAATCCTGCATCCTCACCTGTCGAACCAAATGTGAAGTTGGAGAAGAATGGAGAGGAAGACAAAGTCGATGTAACTTTGTTCAAGCAAATTGTGGGATCTCTGAGGTATGTGTGCAATAGTTGACCTGATATAGGTTTTGCAGTCGGATGAATAAGCAGATATATGGGTGAACCAATAGTGTCACATATGAAGGCTGCAAGAAGAATCCTGAAATATTTGAAGGGTTCAATAAATTGTGGAATACTATTTCGACGAGATTCTGAAGGCAAAGAAGCAATAATTGTTTTTCAGATGCTGATTGGTGTGGAGATAAGGAAGATCGAAGAAGCACAATTAGATATTTCTTTCAAGTATTTGGTGCCCTAATCTCATGGTGTTCGAAGAAGCAACCTGTGGTGGCATTGTCATCGTGTGAAGCTGAATATATAGCAGGATCCGATGCTGCATGTCAAGCAATTTGGATCAGATATGTACTTGAAAAAATGACTGTCGAAGTGAAGAAACCTCTAGTATTGCAAATTGACAACAAGTCAGCCATAAATCTGGCAAAGAATCCAGTTCTGCATGGAAGAAGTAAATATATTGAAGCAAGGTTTCACTTATTGAGGGAAAAAGTAAATCAAGGTGAACTTGAAGTTAGACATTACTCAAGTGAAGCACAGTTGGCCGACATTTTCACCAAAGGATTGAAGATCGACAAATTCCTGAATTTGAGAAAGAAATTAGGAATAATTCAAATTGACTATTTTTGAGGATGTTCAACAACTTGGATTATGGGGGTGTGTTGAAATATTAAATTAGATTAGATTAGATTTGATTAGATTTAATATTTAATATAGTCCAAGTTGTGTTAGCCCAAACCCAATTAGAGTTGTATATAAATAGTCATAGTGTGTATCATTATTTGCACAATTGAATAATATAAATTCTTATTTACTTTATTATTCTCTCTTTCTCTCCTCACTAAAAGTGCCTCACGCACTAACAGTAATGAGCAATCCCTTTTTTTTTTGCCTAGCGACTTTGGATGTAAATCGTCTGATTCAGCTTAGGCTATATCAAACTTAAGCATGCCATGCTAAAAAAAAATCAAAGCCTAAGTCTGGCACATTGCTTACCATATGATTATTTTTATGTCCGAGTATAACTTTTTTGAAGGTCGGGTTGTATTGTTAGCCGACTTAAAAACCTATTTCAGTTGAATGTTTAAATAAACTAACAAACTAAAATACTAATAAGACTAAAAGTTTGTTTACATTAGTTTGTCCGAGTTTATCTAATAACATAAATTTTGTGAGACTACTTGTTTACGAGAACTTATAACATTGTTCATAAGATATTTTCAGCCTATTTTTATAACTTAGTCGAGCTAATTAATTTTTTTTTAAATATTTTAATTTAAAGTATAAAATATAATAATAATAATAATAATAATAATAAAATTATTCATACTTTTTTGTGGCTTTCACACTCTGATTCTTAAGAGAATGAAGTTCTAGTAGTTCAGATCTCGTGTCGAGAAGTCATGGCGCTGGCCAATAAATATTCCCATTAAAAATCGAACTCGATATTTCTCGAACCTTCATTCATATTTATTTAAATACACAAATATAATAAGTTTAAAAAACTTTTTGTATGAATTATGACGTAATTTTTTTAATTATAAACTTATAAAAAAATTCTATATATTTTTCAAATCCTATTAATTGAAAACTCGTGAACTGAGATATGAGCACTGGTCAAATATTGTTCATGTCAAAAATGAAACTTAATATTTTGAATATCGTAATTTGCAAAAGCTCCATTATCAATGGAGCGCAAATATTTAATTATATAATTTATTTTTATCTTAACCGTAATTCATTATTTTCAATATAAAACATTAAAATCTATATTTGGCTATTATCCTAATGTTACAGTTGTGTGCATTGCTTGTAACTTCCATATGGTACAGTTAGAAGATACAGTTGTGAAGTAGTTTATTTAGAAATTGCCTCAATAAAAAACATTTTTTTATAGAAAGTGACACATAATAGAATTGGAATTAGATTAAAAAATGCCCAATTTAACTCTACTAAAAATTCCATGAAAACAAAAAATTAAAAATAGAATTAATTTATCTTCAAAATTAGTCAAAGAGTTTCCACACCCAGCACGCATTTGACCTGTCTCTTCCAACACGCTACTGTCACAAACACGTCACCTTTCATTTATTTCTTTATTTTAACTTTTTTTTTATTCCTTTTTTTGACGAAAAGTTTTTTTTCCCTTTTCAACCACGAAAAGTAAAATCAATTTCATTTTTATTTATAAAACCCTAGAAATTCTTTTTGTTACTTTGAATTTTCATACTGAGATTCGTTTCACTCTTTGAAAAATTCAGGTATTGTTGTTAACGACTCGTTGATTCTTTTGATTTGAATTTCTGTTTATTCGGTTTGGTTTCAGTTGAATTTAGGGTTTATGCTGTGTGTTGCTATTGCCCCTTTTGAAATTCGGTTATGTTGATTTGTATATTGTGTTGCTATTCATTGAGTTGAGTAGTTTAGGGTTTATATGGATTTTTGTTTTAGAGAATGGATGAACTTGGTGGTTTTGGGATTTTAGAATTGGCTTCTTTTTTTTTTTGTTTTTTGAATTGTAGGCTGAGCTATATAGTAAAGAAGAGTTTTGATGTCTTCAAGAACATTGAGGAGAAGGCTCCATCATGGGGATGTTGATGGTAAAAGGAAGGATCATTTGGATACTTCTGAGTTGGATTCTTTGAATGAGCCCTTGTTGGGGGGTGATGATTATACTGAGAACAAGAAGGTTTGAAATTGTTGTTGTTTTATTTCTGGAGTAGGGTTAAGTTCATTTTGTTTTTGTCTGATTTTATGTTATGTTTATTGGTTATGAAGATATGTACACTTGAAGATTTGTGGGATGATGAGAGAAAGAAGGCGCAAATTCATTGGACGTTCTTGTTTTCGAACCTTATTGCGCAATGGGCACAGTGGTTAGGTATGTTTTTGATGATTTGGCTTGCCATAAATTTATGCTTCACAGTATTGATAATAATTGAGTAGTAAATTGTTTTGCTTTTGTTATCTGGTGAAAAGCAATATTAGACTGTTTCTCAGTTCTTGCAATCTATGCTAGCTGATTGTGGACTTATTTTCAAATAGTGACTGTTATGAAGTGAATAAAATCCTATTCCAAATGATTTGTCAGGAAAGTTGATGATCTATATTTCCTTTGAGTTTCTCAGTTCATACATTCTATGCTAGCTAGCGGGTTGTGGACATATTTTCCATTAGTGATAGTTATGGAGCGAATAAAATCCTATTACAATTTTCAAATGATTTGTCAGGAAAGTTGATGATCTATTTTTCCTCTGAATCTAAAATCTTACGTTTAGAATGGCGTCTAAAAGAATTAGTTGTAGGATTTGCACGATCTAGCACTTCTTTTGGAGCTTGTTGTGAGTATTGGTTGACTAAATTGATGGAGCTGCACTTATCAATTTTAAATATGAATCACAGCTTGACTCTCAATTCATTTTAAGAATGAATTGCAACTTACTGCTAAATTTTGTTTATTCAGCTACATTTTTTTGTCATTTTGATATATGAACTAATCATGGATTGTTTTGAAGTTCGTGTATGTATCTTACGATTCATGACAAGATTTGATTCACAAATTCACAATTTGATAATCATGTATATACTCTTTGGAGTTTGTTGTTTTTGTAAATAGATGAAATTACTATCAAAGACATTGCTTATATATTTTTTTCATTTCTGAAAGTATCATTTATGGAGTTTGGGGAAAATCAGCTTCTTATGTATGTTTTATTTCTACCTTTTCCGTATTGTTGACTGGTATACAAATAAAAAGAAAATGCAAATTGCATGATTTTAGTTGTGATTTTCTGACATGTAATCAATCTTTTCATATTGCCTTTGCAGCGAATGTTGTAATAGGATCTGGGACTCTTCTTGGTCGTCTTTTATCTCTTCCTTCTAACACTCTTTACTTGCAAAATAATAGAATGCTGCCTCCACCTCTTAGCCCTGTGCAGGTATGTATTGTGTTATTTTATATAAATTCTTATAATTGTGTTTTGATCAAAATCAAGTAACCAACTTCAACCTTAAGTTTAACCCTATCCTAAAATACAGTTGAACTAAATTATGAATTTAGTAGACATTTTTGACTGAGCATACCTTTGAATTGAACTCCACCAAACCTCCTAGCTCAACCATCCTCTGTCTTTTGAAAATGAAAGGCTAGCCAAAATGAAATGGTGCCCGGGGAAATTCTGATTTTTGATAATAAAAACACGAGATAGGATATTATCCCGGATTTAGTTTGATATTGCCACACAGTTTTTTGAATAGGTGGGTAATAGATAATAAAAGCACTTGATAACCGTGCTGTCTTTTGCAATGAATAGGTGGGTAATGGATATTTCATTGGAATTTGATGATATTGATATGTATTTGGTTGCATTGTTCTATATCCATCAAAGTACTCGTTGTTTTCTTCCTTTTTAATTAAAGATCACATGAGATTTATAAAAATAGTAGGAATTATAATTGAAAAAGTTATCTGAACAATCAATTTTAATCAAATGGTTGCAAGTAAATGTTCTCATTTCTCAAACAATAATTTTCACTGACTGTATGCTTTTGTTTTTTAACTTTCAGTAATCTGCTACATTTGGTTATGTCATATTTATTCATATTTCTTTCTTTCTTAGGAAGAAAGACTAAGAAACTTACGGCAACGGCTTGAAGTCCCTTTTGATGGTTCTAAAACAGAGCACCAAGTATGTATTTAATGTTTTTCTCACCTAATCACATGACTGATTTTTCTTTCTATATTTTGTGTTTGTCCAATCCTGCTGTCGTTTTCATATGTACCTCTTGATACCATTTATAAATTGAGTTTGATTACTTTTGTAAATTGAGTTTCCTTACATGGATGAATTAGCACGTGGCCAAGAAAATTGTTCTACATATATCTAATTTATCCGTAGCATGCTTTTGAGATTCTATAATAGAGTAGTTGAAAATAAACTTGCAATTAACATTTTATTTTATTTTATTTTGATGAAGGATTACATTTTCACATCTCTTTTTTGTTGTTGTGCAGGAAGCTCTTTTACTATTGTGGAGATTGGCTTATCCTGACAGGGAGCTTCCTTCACTTAAATCAGATCTTTGGAAGGAAATGGGATGGCAAGGTTCAGACCCATCAACAGATTTTAGGTGTGTGATCAAAAGCTATATGTTTTGCTTTAACGAGATGGGGTAGGGGCGTGAATATAAATAGGGTTTTAGCCATCTATAGATTAGATTAGATACTCAAAATACTATAAGACTATTAAGTAAGGATTCATTGACTTAATAATGGGCGGTGACTTAAAATATTCTGAATTTCTGATCCTTATAGGTTAGACATGCATCTACATGTTTTAATGGTTATATTTTTTTATTCTTAGGGGTTGCTTTTGTTAGATTATATAAAAATGTGTCAGGATCCCAATCTACTAGATATATGGCCAAAGTATTCTCTCTAAATACTTGGGCAATCCTCACTCTTTCATTGCAAATACATATCAATATCTCAAAATTATGAAAGAGTTCATAAGAGTTTTATTACCATGGTTTGCAGGGGTGGAGGATTTATATCATTAGAGAATCTTATCTTTTTTGCGCAGAAGTATCCAGTAAGTTTCTTCTACCATAATTGCATTTACATTTATATTCTACATAATCTGTTAAATAGTTAAGTGGGTGATTTTAATTAGTCTAGCACATTTCTACCTGGCAATGTCATAGGCTTCATTCCAGCGATTATTGCTTAAACAAGATGGAGTCAGAGCAGAATGGGAATATCCATTTGCAGTAGCTGGAATCAATATTTCATTTATGTTGGTGCAGATGCTGGATCTTCAATCAGGTAATTTGAATTCTCTTGAGGAGAAATTCAGTGGCTGTAATAATGATTATATGACCCGTGAGTGAAAATAAAGGCTAGGGGCAAAGTGGTTTTGAGACGCGTTACTTAAACAGATACCATGAAATATTGTCATATCACGCCACACTCATGTATTATGTTTGGATTTCCAATGCAAACTACAATAGAGTCCAAAAGTATGTTCACTTCATGTTTCATGTGAAATCATCTGATGATGAACTATTCTCCTTGCAGTTCATCCATCTTCTTTGTCAGGAATCTATTTTCTACGGCTGTTTGAGGAGGACGAAATGGCATTTGATATCCTTTTCTGCATTGCATTTCAAATGATGGATGCTCAGTGGCTAGCAAAGCGTGCTACATATATGGAATTTAACGTAATATATCATTAAAAGTTGCGTCTGCTCACTGATTAATTAATTTATTGTTGTTCTTTGACAGTATTCTTATTGCTTAAAGATATTTTGTTTTTTCTAGGAGGTTTTGAAATCAACAAGAGCGCAGTTAGAGCGGGAGCTTGCTCTTGAAGACATCTCCAGTATAAAAGATTTACCTGCTCACAATATGTTGTGATGATTATTAGTGCTCATTTTAGTTCAACATTTCTCTCTCCCATTTTGTAGCTATAGAATGTTATACCTTATATGTATCTAAAGTATTTGTGATTCTATCTCTGAATTGGAAACATGGAAATCATAAGTGGAAGTGGGATCCCAAATATCAGATTAATCTTACTGTTAATTTCCATCACCCCTTGTATTTAAGCATTTATTAGCATTCAGGAAATTGTTTACAATAATACAAAGAAAAAGGGTCAATCATGTTTTGAAAGGCACAATTATATTTTGTTTTTGAACGTGTACATCCAATCTATGTTGAAGGGTGTAGAAAGCGTTTAATATTATCTAACACATTTTTTAATTTTTAATTTGTGTGAATTATAATCTAAATTAATTTTATCCAATTTTTTTAACGTTATTTGGTAAGTTATAATATTTTTAATCACTTAACATTAAAAATTTTATTATCAAAATGATTTATGTATCAAAAACCAAAACAGACCATAAAGTTTGGTTTGATGTTATTTTCTGTTATTTTAAATTTAAAAATAAAATAAAATCAGTTTTAGTTTTAGTTGAGTTTTGAAAATTTCAAAAACCAAAAGCTAATTTTAAACTTAACATTCATGATAAATATATTTTAATATAAATAATTCATACAATTAAGTTTATAAAATAATATAAATAGTATAACAATCGTGTAAAATAATTCATACAATTATATATATATATATATATATATATATATATATATATATATATATATATATATATATATATATATATATATATATATATATATACCAATAATTTTAATAATAATGACTAACAATGGTGGTAGTTGATAGTAGTAGGATATGGTAGTTGGTAATCATGACTAGTGGTCATTGGTGGTCATCGAGGATCATGACCAGTGGTGGTTAAAATGATAGCCAATGGTGGTAACTTGTGATTCAATTGGTGATCGTCGATAGTTAGGGTGGTGATCACCATGGTAGTTAATAATGGTAATGTCGGTGACTGACAGTTGTTAGCGTGGTGGTCGGATTAAAGATTATAGATGAATAAAATGATTATCAGAGGTGATTGGAGGTAGTGGTCATAGTGGTAGTCGGTAATAGTCTAAATAGTAGTTGAAATAATGGTCATAATAGTGGTCGGAGGTGATTGGAGTGATGGTCAATGATGGTCAAAATAGTGATTAAAGTTGTGCAATGTTTCAACATGCAACGCTTCAACTACTACAAAAACTCCCCACATTGATTGAAAATAATATATATGTTTCCATTGTCTAAACAAATATTCATAAAGACTTGTTTGGACTGGATTCCGCACAGGAACCAAAATGGTATCGATTGATGATGTAAGATTTTGGAATCAACGATGCTAACCTCTGATATGGTGGCGCAAGATGGACTTGCAAGGTTAACACTCTAACGTCCAAGTCAGTTATAAAGTCTAAGATAAGTGTAGTGAAAAAATAGAGATAAAAAGTGTACCTTGAATTTCATGTGTGTTGACTATATATGTTGGATCATCTCGATTGGGCTACGTATGACTGGGCCTTTTAGTCGGGACTTTGGCCGATCTATAACAATTTTCCCTAAGGCTTGTCGAGTATGTACTAGCTGGAAAGTCTTTCAAAGTCATGTCTGACACCTGGCTATCACGTCCAAGCATAGGGAGAAGAAGGAAGGTCGTGGAACATTTACAAAAGTAATAGGGAACAAATGCATCAAATGCTTTCCATAATTGAAAGGTCTCGCAGGTTTTTTCACATGCATGGGTTTAGGTTCCCAAGTTAAGACATGCCACTTTTCCCCAGGGCATTCTAGTGCACCTGAGTTTATTTGCATTTTCTAGGTGAAATCTGCCTGTTGGTTTGTAACTTCCTATTTCCCATTGATCTGGTCAGTTGCTCGCTCCCCCTTATATAAAGGCCTATTGACTTTTGGGAGAACTTTCAGCATTCCCAAGAGTTACTTTCCATTTGTAAGAGTAATTTTTTCCATTCTTATGAACATTTCTTTGAGCGATTCCCTTTCCCGGAACAAAGATTTCCATTCTACCTTTAACATTCTCTTTCTTTGCCAAACACTATTCCTTTTAAGTACCCTTCTTACTCTGAGTTTGTTTCATAATTTTTCAGTATTTACTTTATCTTGGCCAATATAAATGACCACCCCATATGTTTGTCTAGCGATTATGGGAGTAATTATTCTCCGACTTTAGTTAGGGCAAAAGTGTTCTCTAGTTTAGATTCTCATCGCATAGTTAATAATCAATTAATTCTAACTTTCTAATAGTTATGTTGATAGAGAAACTTCCTTCAATGAGTCTTCCTTATATGCTCCTCTTTCTAACAAGGATGTAGGTGGTGATTGCATAGTCATCTCTACACTTGTACCATCCGTAGTTGTAGAAGATTCAACTTCCCCTGCTTTAATTACCCTAGAGATGGAGGTCGCTGCTTTGAATAGGGAAGACGCCTGAAATTTCATCAAGACATACCATACTGTTTATGGCTGACATCCGAGTGATGTTGAGGTACTTAAAAGGAGTATGAAAGGAGTCACAGAAACAAATATATATGAGTGGCACTTCTATTTTAAGATCTTCTAGGATTATGAGATACATTTGAAAGGAGTCACATTAGTTGATCTGGTCGATATGAATAAATATATATGAGTGGCACTTCTATTTTAAGTGATTGTGCGACCTTGAGTGTGACTAATATGGCATTCAGCCACCTCTCTAACTAGTCGGTTCTTCCAATAGAACTAGTAAAAAGATATGCACCACTTTCAAGGAGTGTTTCATTCCTTTTTATGAGTGTCTATTCACCTGGAAAAAACTACAATGGCCCTTATCCGAGTTTGAGGTAGAGGTGTTGAAGTTTTTGAAGGTTTCCCCCTCGCAGCTCCATCAGGGTGCTTGGGCTTTTATAAAGGCATTTAAATTCTGGGCTAAGTATCGGTCTTGGAAACCTAACCATTTTTCCATCTTTTCGTTGTAAGACACACCTCTAGATATAATGTCTGGGATCAAGGTCTTATCGTGCTACACCAAAAATTTCACCTGTTTAGTCCCTTTTCCGAGAGCCGAGACGATTTCTGGGGGAGCTTCGTGCTAGTGAAACCCTGTACTTTGGAATCCCACTGTGTTATGTCCCAATTTTCTCCCCTAAGATTTTTGTCATTTCATAGCATCATAGTGCATCGGGATCACGCTGTCTCCAAGATTAGTTCCGCACGGTTAAGGCGATTTTAGTTTCTTGGTTCTCAAGACTCTTTGAGATAGGTTCACATGTTTATTTCCATTCCTTCTTCAGCAAGTAATCTCAAATTTTGGCAAGTGTGAACAATGCGAATTAGAATTTTTCCATCTCAAGCTCAAGGGTTCCGTCAGGCAGTAGCAAAGCAGAAAATCAGGGTTTTGGGATTTAAATACACGTCTCACGTGTTCCAAGCTATCCAATCAGAGATTAATCAAGTCATCATTATATCAAGCTCTCATGCATTTCAACATATTCTGAATTATGCAGAAAGTCAAGCATTTCAATTGATTTGAGACAGTGCATACAAAAATTTAATATTGTGCATTTTTAGCCCAAAAATTCTTAACTTGAGATCATAAAATGGTTTGGGAATTATTCTTCAGTCTTTAGAATCGTCTTGAGGTCTTCTTCATTTCATCTGTTCATGTCGAAGGCTAATTTTGTGAGAAAGATTTTCTAAAATGCCAAATACTTGAAATGCGTTATACAGTGGATTTACCATTTCACTGGTTTTTGAATGCTTAAAAATTCGTACCTTCTAGCTGGAATATCATCTTTGAGTGCCTCTTGGAGCATTTGAATCATCTTGTTATTTCCTTCAACTTTCGTGTTCAGCTTGGAAGCCAGTTCATGCATGATGATGATGAGTTTCACATGTGTTCACTTCTGACTTGTATGATACTTTATCTCTTCTATGTCACCTCATTTTATCATACTTCCTTGATTGCTTATCTTTGCTTTCTACTTCTTCTTCTCCACTTCTTCAAGTGTGTTCAAGAGTTTCATCTCTTGTATGTGTTTCAGTGTTGTGTATGCTTGATGTTTGATCATCTCATTTTCATCTTGATGTTTTGTCATCTATCTCATATTACTTGATGTCTTGTCATCTTAGTACATGAATGCGTTATGTTTTTTCATCTCATTCTTTACTTGATGTTTCATTATATCATCTTTACATGATGTTTTTCCATCCATGCTTAATGTTTTGTCATATATACTTGATGCATGTACTTGATGCTTGGTCATTCTTTGTGTGATGTTTTATCATCTTCCCTATTGCTTGATGTATTGTCATCTTTGTGATGTATCCTCATCTTTGTGATGTATTATCATATATGTGATGTATTCTATGTGATGTATTGCCATCTTTATGATGTATTACCATCTTTGTGATGTATTGTCATATTCGTGATGTATTATCATCGTTGTGATGTGTTGTCATTTCTTCCTTATATCTTGATGTTTTTCCATCTTTGTATGATGTTTTATCATCCATCTCCTATCTTTGCTTGCTTCTCCTTTTGTATTATCCCCATAGGATCTTTAGTTCACTCTTCTCTAAGTTTGAACTAAATAGACCTTAGGTTTGCTATCCATGCATGACAACATTAGTTAGATACTTCCCTCATATCCCAACTATAGGATAAACATTTCATGATAACTTTAGGACTATTTTGCTAGTCTCCCTTATATTTTTGCATCTCATTAAGACTAAAACTTCTTTTTCTTTTCAAACTCTCAAAACACTTAGTAACAATTGATGAGAATTACACTCTTTAATAAGTATAGGAAATGATAAACGGGTTTCTTGTCGATCTTATTTTTCTTTCGTTCTTAGTCTTTAGTGTGTTTCAAATCTCAAATCCTTTTCAAAGTAAAAATACAAACCAATGCAAATCTTTTTGTCTTCAGACTTTTTCTTTTAAAACCTTTTCAAAAAGGACATGGTTCACTAG